CGGGGGGAGCGGGCAGAGGCAGCCCTGAGGCTGCGCTGGAGCGGGTCTGGCTCGATGCCGGGCTGCAGGGTGGCTCAGGGGGGGCCGGGGATGGTTTTGCAGTGGAGAAGATCCAGGCGATGTTCACGGTCCTGGGAGCCTTCGGGTCGGTGACCACCAGCCACAGCAGCAGCTCCACGCGCTTCTCCATGGTCCTGTCGCTGGATTTCAGTGCCACCGGCCGCATAACTGGGGCTCACCTCCAGGTACCCCGCGGGCCTGGAGAGACTGGGGGGGGGGCCATGGCCCACAGTGGGGGTCCTCGGGATGAGGGTGAACAGCCCCTGTGCCGTCCTTCCCATCCGGCTGGGCACGAGAGGGGCGATGCTCCGCTCTGCTGCTTCTGGAGCCAAAGTGCCCCAAACGGCAGCTGAGCGGGCGCTCTGTCAGCCCCCGCAGCCCGTCACCCCCCCCTGGCAGGGGGCGCGGGACAGCGCTCAATGAAACGTTTAGGAGGAAATATCTAATTCAGCATTTCGTTAGCAGCACCTTACGTGTTGGCCTGCAGCAGAAGCCTCTGAGGGCTTTTAGCGCCACTTTAAGCAGAGCTGCCCGTGCCCGTGGGCCTCGCGCGATGGAGGAGGGGGCTTGAGCCGGCGTCCGCTCCTGGGGGACACCAGGGCCCTCCCGTGCTCCCTTTCACTGCCCCGGGGCTGGCGGGGAGCTGGTGGCCCGGCATGGCCGGCCTCGGGCAGGAGTGGGACCGTGCCCCCGGGAGCATCCGCTCTCCAGACCGTGGTACCCCCCTGGGATGGGACAGTCGCGGGGGGGGTCGCAGCTCTGCAGGGACCGGTTCCTGGGGTCAGTGCTGGCATGGAACAGCCTTGACGAGGCTGGAGGCAGATTATGGCTTGTCTCAAAGGCCAGGCAGTGGCTTGTCCAGAGGCTGCAGTGTCTTTGCTAGGGCCACATGCTGCCCAGGCCTCGGGAGGTGGGGAGGGACCGCGGGTCCTGCACCCCCGAGGTGAAATGTTGCCCCTTGGTGCACACCTGGGCCACGGTTCGGCTCCTGCTTGCACCCCCAGCAGCACGCAGCCTCCAAAGGCCCTGCAAGGAGAAATCCAGCCCCTCCCTGACAGCTCCCAGTAGCATCCCCCCATCTCCGGGTGCCACTGTCCCCCCTCTTCCCTGTGTGCCTGGATGCCCTGACACACCGGCCACCCTGCCCGCACCGGGGGGGCGTCCCTGCCTGCGCTGGGCTCAGCCCTGCCTCCCCTCCCTCCCCAGACCATGCTGCTGGAGAGGAGCCGCGTCACCCAGCAGCCCCACGGAGAGAGCACCTTCAACGTCTTCGCCCTGATGCTGGCGGGGCTGGACACGGCACACAGGTGGGTGCGGGGGTCCCAGGGCCCCGGGCGGCTCCGCTCCGCGCCTGGCTGCCGGGGACCCCACTGCCCAGGGGCTCTCCCGTGGTTTATACCCAAGTTTACTCCATCAGTTTGGTTTCTGAGACCCCTCTGATAAGAGATCGTGAGGGTGATCGCATTAGTGATGCTGCAGGTGGTTTTATACGTTTCCGTATTAGAGATTTTCTAGGAAACGGGTGTTTTCTGGTGCGGTTTATGCCCCTTTGCTAAAACTGCAACTGGGCTGATCAGATGAATCAGAGGCCCCTTTCCCTGCTCACTTCTGCCTTTCCCACGAGCTGTGTGTCCCCCGCCTGTCTGGTGCCCGCTCCATCCCCCTGCCCAGGGCAGAGCCACGAAGCTTTTCCCACCGAAGCCCCTCGGACATGGCTGTAGAGGCAAAGGGGCTCTGCGGGTGCCAGAGACCCTCCCCGAGGAGAGAGCAGGGGGTTTGGGGGGTGCTGGGGGCAGGAGGGAGCTCGAGTCTCATTTTCTGTTACCTCACTCCAGGACGATGCTGCACTTGCACCAGGCGGCTGAGAGCAACTCCTTTGGGATCAAACCGCTCTCAAAGGTGGGGAGAAACGCCGGGGGTGGGCGCACAGAGGGAGGGAGCAAATACCGGGGTGTGAGGAAGGGTCTGCCCGAACAGCCCCCCGCGGGGGACCCAGAAACTCCTGGTGGTTCCCTGTGGCTGGAGCTGCTGGGTGGGGGCGGGAGGC